GTGGGGCGTCTCCTCTGGGCGGGGCGTGGGTGTCCTGTGGGCGGGGCTCCCCTCTACTAGCTGTCAATCCATCAGCATTTTACTGAAGCCCTTCCATGCTCCAGGCCCAGGGAAAGGCCCACATCAAGGCGTTTACACTGAACGGGGCCATTTCAAGTGGTGATCGATGCAATGAGGACGAGAGAGGGCGAGATACAGGGGTGGACCAGGCCCTTGCTGTGCTCAGGAAAGGCCTCTCCAAGGAGGAGCCATGCCGAGGGCAGACTAGAGGGACAAGAGGGCTGAGCCGGGTTCTCCAGCCGGGTGTCCCGGGTCCACGCCCTCCCCCCCGGCGCAGGGGCCTGGTGCCCAGCAGTGCAGCGTGCAGACACCTATGTTCTCCACCTGGACCTGACTGGTGCCACCAACTCCCCACTCCACCCCAAGAGAGCTCTGGGAGCCCGGCAGAGCATGTGTGGAAGGCTGGAGAAGCCGAGGGACATGGGGACAAGACACCTCTATGCGAGGGCCGCTGCAGGCGTGACCAGGAGCAACCGTTTCGCACCCTCTTCCTGCCCCTTCCCAGGACACTAGGTGCCCCGCGGGCCCTCCGGGACAAGAAGGCCTCCTGTCCCCTCAGCAGTCAGCTCAGGGAGCCCACGCACTGGGACCTGTGAGATCTCTGGGATGGGGCTCTGTGTCTTGGGGTGGGGAAGACTCCCCCAGACCAAGGAAAGCAAAGCACCAGGTGAGTTCCACGGTCCCCAGGACAGGTACCTGCTTGGCACTGTCCTGCGAGGTGAGGATGAGGGCAGAAGAGGGGACATTGATGACACTAGGTACTCCCCCCACCACAGCCACACCCGGCCAGTGAATCCCTCTGCCCCACTTTTCAGCATCCCCAGCTCCCTGCAGAGCCAGGTCCTTCCTGTTGGCTGTGCCAGGTCAGGTGACCCATCCCAGCCAGAAAGTGACCCCCTGGAGGCAGAGGCTCCACGCCTTCCAAGACCCCTAAGAGGGGATTCCCCAAACACAAAGAACAACACATGCCCCATGTGCTCCTGCTGCAGACCCCGCCTCAGAGGGCGGGACCCTAGTGAGTGTCCCTTTGAAGACCCCAAGTTCCCATAGCAGGGAGAGGTGCCCAGGAGGCCCGGGACAGTTTGTGGACCCTCGCATCTGGGCGGCTTCTCAGGGGACTCATGTCACGGTCTCGCAGCTGTAAAAGAATCCAGGAAATGAGAATTGTGGTCTCTCGTTTTTTTTAACGTTCATCTTTAAAACAGCTTTATTGAGATAGAGTTCACATACCATACAATTCCCCCATTTAAAGTGTACAGTTCGGTGGGTTTTAGTGTATTCACAGACATGCACAACGATCACCATTGTCAATTTTATGGCATTTTCAACACCCTAAGAGGAAACCCTGCGACCGTCCCCCATCCCTCCCCTCCCCAGCCCCTGCAACCGCTGATCTACTTTCTGTCTCTGTAGAGTTCCCTCTTCTGGGCATTTCGTATGCTGTGTGGTCCCCTGTGACTGGCTTCTCTCACTCAGCTGCTGCAAAAGCTGTGGGCTCTTTCCTTGGGTGTCCCGTTCCCTGTCCCAGGAAGCCAGGTCAGCACCCCCTCCCCAACCTGAGTGTCAGTAAATGTGGCTGAAGACACCTCCACCCTGGCCGTCAGGGGTCAGTCCCAGGCACCTGCACAGTGGTGGGGTCTTAGCTTGGGCTGCTACGACAAAGTGCCTCAGATGGGGTGGCTTATAAACAACAGAACTAATTTCTGATGGTTCTGGAGGGAGTAAATGTGGCTGAAGACACCTCCACCCTGGCCGTCAGGGGTCAGTCCCAGGCACCTGCACGGTGGTGGGGTCTTAGCTTGGGCTGCTACGACAAAGTGCCTCAGATGGGGTGGCTTATAAACAACAGAACTAATTTCTGATGGTTCTGGAGGGTGGAAGTCCCAGATCAGGGCACCGGTAGGGCTGGTTCTGGTGAGGGCCTGCTTCCTGGTTGATAGACAGCCGGCTTCTCACTGTGTCCTCATCGGTTGGAAGGGACGAGCAAGCTCTCTGGGGTCCCTTTTACAAGGGCACTGATCCCCTAACCACTTACCAAAGTCCCCACCTCCCAAAACATTGGAGGTTAGGGCTTCGACCTATGAATTTGGGGGTACACAAACATTCAAGCCATAGTGGGGGGTGAGAATTGAGGGGTACAGCCACCAACAGTGGGAAAAGGAGGTTCTTCCAGGCATCTGAGGGTCCCCAAGGGCCCGCCTTCTCCCACGGCATCTGGTGTGGGGAAGGGCAGGTAGTGGCTGAGAGGGGCCCCGGGAGGCTGATTCTGGGCGGAAGCCCCAGCTGCCTCTGCCTGACTTCTGTGCTCCACAGGACAGACACAAGCACTGGAGCCTTCAGAATTTGAACTGCCACGTGGGCTCAGAAGGTGGCATCTTGGCACTGACAGGTGCGCACTGAGGTATTGGGGCATGTTCCCTAAAGCTGAGCTCTGCCTAAGATCCCTGGGACCTGAACAGGCTGGTGGGGAGCATCCCCGTGACACCCAGTAGGGACTGTCGACTGCGCCAACTACATAGAGGAGCATGAAGGGAACGGGCAGCTCTCGGGCCCCTCCTTCTCCACAGCCCTGGGGGCCTCAGGAGCCCTGACCAGGGACCTGCGTGGGTCCCTTCTGGAGACCCCACTCTGCCGACTCAGCACATCCAACCCCATGCTGCATCACATCCAAGCCAAGGAGCCCCCCAGAGGGAGAGGCCATGAGACCGAAGCAGCCCGAGATACAGAGAGAGGACCCCAGGGCCCGACTTCAGACAGACAGCAAGTTCTTTCCCGCTAAAGGTGGTTCCACGCGGCCCCTGAGGGCCAAGAGGCTGGGAGGGATGGAGACCGTGTGCCATGGGACC